CCTCGGAAATCCTGTACAAGGTCGCTATGAGTCGGAACCAACTCCACGGCACTTAACAACAACAAATGATGGTTAGGGGAGGGAGTCAAGTAAGAATGCCTGTGGAGTCCTGATGAGACGGCAGGATAAAACACTAGACCACAGGTTAGTTTGAACAGCAACGTTGGTAATTCAAACTCACTAGCCGCTCCTCAGAAACCTGTACAGGGTCTAATAGGAATCGGAATCAACTCGACAGCACTTAACAACAGAAGGTAGACACGTTAACATGGATGACAGGGCAAGCAATATATAATAAGAGGGAAGTTGGCAGAGGAAAGATGAAAGTAGCAGAAGAAACGGCGGAGTACAAGAGTTAAAGACAATATTTAAAGGGAAAAGAGGTAAATACTGTTAACTGACAGGAGTCCTGGTGTGGCACTGTGGGCTAATGCGTCAGACTGCAGTCATTTAAACTGCAAGATCAGTGGGTCAAGCTCACCAGCTACTCCTTGGAAATCCTATACAGGGTCTATATGGGTTGGAATTGACTCCATGGCACTTAACAACTACAACTGTTAACTGAGGGTACGTAAAGAGGATTGCAATCATTGTAATGAAGTGAAGTATATGATTTGTTGAATGTAAAATTGACGATCTGTTCTGTAAACCTTTGTTCAAGTCACAATAAAAAGTTTAAAAAAAAAAAAAAGGCCACTCTAGCAAATTATGGGAAGGCCACTGGGCCTGGGGAATTCTGCATCTTCCTTAAGCTCTTCTGCAGTGAATTAATGCTGGGAGTTGGAGAAGCTGGCTCTGGAGTAGTAATCCCTACCGAAGGCAGGTTGGAAGAAGAGGAAGACTGCGTGATACAGTGGTCTGAGATTGTCTCAGTCTTACCCTTCAAGATCTTGTTGATCCACTGGATCGCAGTTTTCTTCTCCAAGTCAAAGTCCTCAACAGTGACTCGATAACCTAGCTGGGGAGCTGGGGGCATGATCAGTGGATCTCCTCGCCTGCAGGGCAGCAGCAGAGGAATCTTGCGTTTAGGAGGCCTGGAGCGGTTGTCTGGTGTGGATAAGCAATTTCCCAAGTGTTGTTTCTGTCCAGAGGTAGTATCTAAAATCTTTTCACCCTGGATTTTCTTCTCTAGTACCAGTGAAGCTGATGTGCTAGATTGGTGACTTTCCTCAGTCACTTTCTCTGCAGGTACCTGCGGATAGACTATGGCTGAGCCTGAGAATCTGGTTGTACCTGGACCACATCTCTGCATTATTGGGAAATCTTGAGTGGAGCTATAGGAACTGATAATGGCATTACGTTTACTACATGGATTTATAAAAGGGGCCTGGGATATCTTAAACAGACTATCTTCTGAGCTGTTGGGATGAAGGTATCTCTTTAGAGGCCCAGGCCTAGGCACGAAGGAAGACACGGCTCCATGGACCACTAGGGGCCTGAATGCAGACTGTACATGACCACTGCCGTCAGAATCTCTTCTCTGACAGTCCCGCCTCTCAGTGATGATGTGGTCCTCCTCCTGCTTCACTGGCCCTTTCTTGATTTCTCCAAGGATCTTCAAGTCTTCTTCCTGCGTTCTCACTTGACTTCTCTCTCCGAAGACCCTCATCAGGGTCTCCTTGACACAAGGGTTTGGGAGGTGACCAGACAGTGAAGACCACATATAGACAACTCTCTGCTTCAGTGCCCAACCGAGAGTCAATTTCTCCTTAGTAGATGACATCTTCAGGATCACTGAGGTACAGAACATCTTGGAGCTGCACCCAGATAGTGCCGGCTTTTTCTGATGGCCACTCTGAAGTGCCGAGGGAATGACTCCCTGAAAGAAACACTGGAACAGCTGATTCGGAAGTCTCTTCCGATATACAACGACAAAACGACGGCGGCGGTGACGGCGACAACAGGGTGAAGCCACGCGATCCTCGTAGGACAGCCTGCGCGCCAGTCCGAAGGCAGCGTCAGCCGAGTGCACCCGGCAAGCCACGGGTCCCCTGCGGGTGAGCTGTGCCGGCTGGAGGCGGTCCGGCCTCTGCCTCTGCGGCAGATCCTCCACCTGGAGAGCTGGAGGCACAGGTGGACGACGAGGCCGGCTCAGGTAACTGCCCATGAGGAGCTGTTCTGCACGTTCACGATGGACTCCTTCAGAAAAAAGAAAAAAGTCAGTGCCTCTAAGAGGTTTCCGTTAACTACTGTCGAAGCGGTCCAGGGCAAAGCGCGCAACGTTGGGTGTGACTCCTGTGACGCTGGCTTGGAACTCGTGAGCAAAGAAAGGGCTAGCGCCACGGGGACGAACGTGCGTGGGGACGAACGTGCGTGCGTGCGTACGTGCGCACACAGGCGGCGTTCGCTGCCCCTTGACGCCTGGCTTCCGGATCCCTGCTCTCACCTGAATGTGTTGGGCATCGGGGACACCAGCAGCCTTTCCCCAGACCAGGCCCTAACTCCGTCCAGGAAATGTTCCAGAGTGGGGTCCACCGAACCCCGAACGAGAGCCGCAGGAACACTGGATTCCGGGTCGAGCAACGGCTCCTCTAGGCAGGAGTTTGGAAATCAGCGCCTGTGCGTCATCTGGTCCTGTCCCCAGGACACTGGAGCCATTCTTAACTTAGCTCTAGAGCGCAGCCTGGATCCTGCAGGACGCGGAAGATGTGGGCCGCTGAGGAGTGGAAGGCCGCAGGAGGAATGGGCTAAGTGCAGATGTCAGAGCCTTGGAGTCCCTGCCTCTACCTTTTATTCCTCCCAGGGAGCATTGCTTTTCAAATGCTCCCTTCTTCCCTCCATTCGTGTTCCAGGACTGCCTTTTAAACTACCACAAACTGGGTGCCTTCAAACAACAAATTCTTTCACAGTTCTGAAGTCTTGTTTAATGCAGTCGAATAGAAATCTGAAATTAAAGTGTCAGTGGGAAGTGCCTTGCTCCCTCTGAAGACTGAGGGAAAAGCTGCCCTGTTGTGATCTCTCTAGCTTCTGGTAATTGCGGTCCTTGGGTTGTAGCACCACAACTGCAGTCTCTGCCCTCGTTTTACATGACTGTATTTCTGTCTACATGGCCTTCTTAGGACACCCACCTGTCAGTGGATTTAGGACAGCCCTAGTCCAGTATGATCTCATCGTAACTAATTGCATCTGCAAAACACAAAATCAAAAAACCCTACCAGGGACCCTCAGAAAGTTAATGGGAAAAATTGGATTAAAAGATTTGTAAAGTCACATTCTCAGATTCCAAGTGGGCATCAAATTTCAGCCCAGTAAGGAGCCCTGCTAGTGCTGTGAGTTAAGTGTTGGGGTGCTAATTGCAAGGTCAGGGGTCCAAACCCACCAGCTACTCCACAGAAGGAAGATGAGGTTGTCTGTTCCTGTAAAACCTACAGTGTGGGGAACCTGAAAGAGCAGTCCTACTGTCCTATATGGTTGCTATGAGTCAGAATCAACTCCGTTGGGGTTTTTGTAGTGGGTGATGTGTTCAACCCAGTACACTCTCCTTTCCTGTGAAGCATTTCTACACATACTTTACAGTGACCAGAAGCCAGAGCTCTGTTGTTAAGTACTGTAGAGTTGGTTCCAACTTGTTGTTGTTGTTAAGTGCCGTTGAGTCGGTTCCAACCCATAGCGACCCTGTATAGGGTTTCCGAGGAGCAGCTGGTGAGCTTGAACCGCTGATGTTGGGAACAGAAAGTCTCATCTTTCTCCCACAGAGTGGCTGGTGGGTTTGAACTGGCAGCCTTGAAGTTTGAAGTCCAGTGTTTATTCTACACAGTCACTGTACACTCCCCAAGCATAGCTTTTCATTTATCAAGTTGATTTTCATTATCGATAGCTAAGACCATTCAACCAGGAACAGTACTATCTGGTACATAAAGCAGAATTCCTGTTCTGAAGCTCATACTTGGTTAATATCATCTCTCTATTTTTTTATATCTGCTCTTTAATAGACAGATTCTGAAGGTCTTACTTACATTCATTTTCAGTAAGCCAAGTCAGACATAAGTAATTTTCATTCTAATAAACAACAAATCACAGACCTGTGGTCCAGTATATTCCACTTAACGGTTGTTTTAGCATGATTATTAAAAGTTACACTCTAGGAATACGGGTGTGGTGCTGTAGAATAAGTACTGGACCACAAGGTCGATTTGAACTGCAAGGTCAGTGGTTCAAATCCACCACCCACTCCTTGGAAACCCTACACAGAGTCGCTATGAGTTGGAACCAACTTGCACTGATCAACAACTTGATTACACAATGCAATAAACAAGTATTGTCTTCTTGGGCTACCATTGGAAACGTATTCCATAAAGTACCCTCAAATGTTGAATAATCACTAGGCAGTTTCTAGCATAACCAGGCTATGCCATTTATTCAGCTGTTTCCCAGAGAATTCCAAAACTACCATCTCCATTTAGGATCTGACTCTCTTAATTCCTTTGCTCTATGGTGCATGAAAATCAAAACATAACATGACCCTCTGAAACTGGGAATGCATGTGAAGTCTTTGTTATTGTTTAGTTGCTTAAAAAAAAAAAGAGATGTTGCCCTCTTGGAAGGAAAGGACCACTTTTTGAAGATCTAAGTTGCAGGTAGCAAAGCTAATGGTGTTAACCATTCCCCTACACAGAAATGTTTGTGGAGATCTTCCATCTATCATCCTGAACCCTGATCTTAATCCCCACCCAGATTGCAGTAAATTGAAGATGAGGTACCCTGTTTCCAGTGAATTGTAGGTGGGAGAGATGCATTATATACTAAAAATACAAGTTGGGGAGTCCTGGTGTGGCACTGTGGGCTAACATGTCAGACTGCAAAGTCATTTGAACTGCAAGGTTGGTGGTTCAAGCTCACCAGCTGCTCCTTGGAAGCCCTATACAGGGTCACTATGGGTCAGAATCGACTCAACAGCACTTAACAATAACAATATAAGTTGGAATTTAGAATTTGATTCACTATACACATTCTAATAAGGTTAATATTAGTTTGAACAGTGATCACATAAGACTATTTAGACCACTTTACACTTGTTTGATGTTCTAGAAGTCCTGGTGTGACACTGTAGGATAATGCACTGGACTGCAAAGTCATTTTGACTGCAAGGTCAGTAGTTCAAATTCACCAGCCACTCCTCAGAAACCCTATACAGGGTTGCTATGAGTTGGAACCAACTCACTGGCACTTAATAACAGTGTTACTCAAATAAACTTATTTGATCCTATTTTTTCCTTTTTATTTTTTGGATTGCTATTACTTGGTGAAGGAGCATGGTGAGTTACAAGTTGGGCTGATAACCACAAAGTCAGAAGTTTGAATCTACTGGCCTCTCTGCAGGAGAAAGATGAGACCTTTTGCTCCCATAAAGATTTATAGCCTCGGAAGCCCATACAGGAGCTCTATGAATCAGAACAGACTTGGCGGCACACCACCATTATTTGGTGAATGCATACAGTTACTTTGCTAAGCCACATAGCTTTTCAAAGGGGTTATAAGTAGATGGTGCAAATGGTTTGCATGCAACTACTAACCTAAACTTCACATAGGGTCGCTGTGAGTCAGAATCAACTCGACAGCACTTAACAACAGCATCACTAACATGAAATTTAGGGGTACAAATCCACTCAATGGCACTGAAGACAAGGCCTGGTGATCTTCCATAAAGATTGTAATTCCCCCTGCCAAAACTCTAGGGCACAGTTCTACTCTATCATAAGTAGGGTCTCTGTGAGTCTCTGTGAGTCAGTCTGATGGCAACAGGTTGTGGATTTTTTGGTATATACCAGTATGCATTGCTCACTGTAAGCAGAGAAGGAAAATATGATTTTGTATAACCAACATTTAAAAGATTGTGCATTAATGAGCTATAAAATATGGGTTCTGAAATTCAGGGGTTTACCTTTCATTTTTCTGCAAACCAGATTTTAACAACATTGACTTCTCAACCTCTCAAATTTTTTTTATCAGCCTGTTGTGGTAAATATCTCTTCATGAAATAGAATAATTCATGACAGAAGTGGATACTATGAATCAATTTCTCAACTTGAAAATTTTAATTACAACATTAAAGTATAATATAATCATATTTTTGTTATCCTTCAAATATCAGCTTAAACAATTCTTTCCAAACACTAATTTTAAATTTATTGAGGTTGAATTTGTTGTTGTTAGGTTCAGTCAAGTCAGTTCTAACTCAGAGCGACCCTATGCACCACAGAAAGAAACCCTGCCCTGCCCTGTGCCGTCCTCCCAATGTTGTGTTTGAACCCATTGTTGCTACCACTAAGTCAATCCACCTTGTTGGAGATCTTCCACTTTTCCGCTAACCCTCCACTTTGCTAGCATAACACCCTTCTCTAGGGACCTGATAACGTGTCCAAAGTATGACAGACAAAGTCACACCATCCTTGCTTCCAAAAAAGCACCCTAGCTGTATTTCTTTCAAGACATGTTTGCTCTTCGGGCAGTTCACAGCACCCTTAATACTCTGCCAACACCACAATCCAAGTGCATCAATTCTTCTACAGTGTTCCTTATTCACTGCCCAGCTTTCACATGCATATAAGGTGATTGAAAAACCATGGCTTAAGTCAGGATCACCTTAGTCATCAAAGTGACACCTTTGCTCTTGAACACTTTCAAGAGGTCTTGTGCAGCAGATTTGACAAATGCAGTAAGTCATATGATTTCTTGACTGCTGCTTCCATAAGTACTGAATGTGTGAACCAAACAAAATGAAGTCTTTGACAACCTCAATCTTTGCTCCATTTATCATGATATTTATTAGTCCAGTGATGAGGATTTTCATTTTCTTTACATTAAGGTGCAATCCATACTGAAGGCTTTGATTTTCATCAGTAAGTAGTCTAAGTCCTCTTCGATTTCAGCAAGAAAGGTTGTATCATCTGCATATCACAGGTTGTTAATGAGTCTTCCTCCAATCTTGACGCCACATTCTTCTTTATATAATATATTCAGGTTATTTGCTCAGCATACAGATTGAATAAATACAATAAAAGGATACAACCCTGACACACACCTTTCCTAATTTTAAACCATTCAGTATCCCCTTGTTCTCTATGAGCACAGTTAAGTATTTTGAAACATTCTTCTCAATGTTATCCA